CTCTCCCTCTCCCTCTCCCTCTCCCTCTCCCACCCCTCTCCCTCTCTCCCTCCCCCTTTTCTTCCCCTTCCTCCACACCTCTCTTCTCTCAGTTCTTTTCTCCTGGTCTCTCTCCCTCTCTCTTTATTTCTCTCTCACTGTCTCTTTCCTTTCTTCTCCCTCTTCCAGGGTACCCTCTCTCCTATCTCTCCTCTTCCCTCCTTTCTCCTCCCTTCTCCCTCTCCTCCTTTCCACTCCCCCTCTTCTCTCCCCTTCCTTCTTTACAACCCCTCCCCTTTCTCAATGCCTCTCCTTCCATCTCTGTTCTTCATCTTCCTCCCCCTCTCCTTTATCTTTTTCCCTCCCTCTTCTACCTTCCCCTTATCTCTTTCCCTCCATATTACCCCTGCCTCCTATTTTCTTCCTCTTCCTTCTCCTCCCTTCCCCATTTCTCCTCTTCAGTTCTTTCCTCCTCCCTCAGTTTTTTCCTCTTTCTTGCTTCTCTTTCCTCCTCCCTCCACTTCTGTCTTCCTCTCCTCTCAACTCCTCTCTCTCTTTCCATCTTCTAACTCGGTCACTCCACTATTGCCCTTTCCCTTTTCCAGATCAATTCAGTCAACCAGCATCACCCCTTGTGTGGTAGTGTTCCTTCTGATAACCCTTTCTTCCCATTTGGGGGCACCCAGGGTGCCACTATCCACTTAAGCATCATTATTGGAGGGCATTCTTTCTCCTCCTTTCTTTCTCCCTGCATACCAGCCCAAGTTCCACAAGCCAGAAATAGAAATTCCCACATCTAAGGATATATACCCTCTTTGCCCCTCTTCAAAACTCAGCTCAAGCCCTACCTTTCACACGGAGAAAGCCTCTAGATTCTGCTAACACAGACCTGGCCTTCCCCCAGGCCAGATTACTTTGTATATACTTAAGTATGTGCCTGTTGTCTATGCAGATAAAATGCAAATACCTTGAGGGCGCTGACTGGTTTTGCTTTTTTTTTGTATTTGTATTACCTTGTCTGGCACTGTGCTCCACACACAGTAAGTTATTCATAAATACTTGTTGATTGATAGAAGACTTTGAGCTGCAACGACCTTAGATGTCTAGTAGTTCTCTTCTCCTACTTTGCAAATGGGGAAACTGAGGTCATACTAGTAGTAAGTGGCAAAGCTGGGATTTAGTCCTTATCTTCGGGGCTCCTTCCACTGCATTTAGAAGTATTGCATATGGGGAGAGGGGGGGTGTCACCCATATACACCCTGAGACAGTCTCTGATTGACAGGGGAATATTCTGGCCATCACTCCCTTTCCACCTGTAGCACAGAGGAAGTCATAGAAGGGACACCAGGAAATTATTTGCAAGCTAGAGTTAAACAATATTCCAGGATTCTCAGCACAATGATTTCATCAAAACCTGCTGTAAGAGAAAACCTGGTAGAATGTAAATTCCTAGGGACAAAGACTGCCTCATTTTTTTTCCTCAATTGGGGGGACCCACTTTGTTTCCAGTTTTTTTTGTTTGTTTCTGTGTCCCGAATTTCACCCAATGCTGTAGACACTCAATAAAAGTTTTGCTGGCTAGTGGATGGATGAGATCACCCATTTCTTGCCTGGTTTCATGCATTATTTAGCTTCTTCCTCATCTTATAGGAATCCATTCTGGATTCACCTAGGTGGTGGGGCTATCTTCCTCAGTTTCCTTATCTGTAAAAGGAAGGAGTTGAACTATGTAACTTCTGAGGCTCTTTCCAGCTATATATCCTTTGTCTTACCCTGGCAAGTCTGAGGAAGGACTTGAACACCAGTCCAGTACTCTATCTACCATAGCAAGCAGACTCTCAGATCTCATCAGGAAAGTATATTGGAATTGTATTTATTACTACTTTACTTATTACTAATTGTTGGTTTCAACTTGTTGGTACTGGGGACTTCAGAGGCCTATTTAATGAAATTCTGTTGGAGATCATAGTGATAAATCTAGAGCTGAAGCAACTTCAAAGGCCATCTTGTTCTTCAGCTCCTTCATTTTACAGATGGGGAAACTGAGGCCCAGGGAAGTTGTCTAAGGCCACCTCGGAGAGTTGGGATTTGAACCTGGATTTTCTGGCTCCATCTTTCTACAGTGCCAGGTTGCCTCCCTCCCACCTTCCTGGCATTCATAGACACAAAGAGAGGACAAGCTCACTCTTTCTCTGCTCAGCAGCTGTCTGACTCCTAATTCTCTGTTTCTTAGAGCAGCCCAGCAAGCTGTTGGTATTCAAGGAATTCTGAATAATAATGATGCCTTTGAGTTAGAGTTTTGTTTTAAGACCTAGTGATTTTGCAAATCCAGGCAGACAGGTTTGAGTTGTAAAAATTGCCCTCCTTTTGACCCTCTATTTTAACTATGGCAAGAAGGGAAAGGGTTGTCATGAACTTCTAGTATGAAGAGAAATAACACAGGATCCTTATCTGGTTGTATTAGTTTCTTCATAAATATTTTATTCAGACTTGTATCAACCTCCATCACCTATCACCTGCCCCACTCCACAATATATCTTTGGTGCCAATGGCATGGATGACTGCCCCCAAACCAGCTATGTGACTTTGAACAAGCTGCATAAGTATCCCTGGACCTTGGTTTTCCCATCTGTAAAATAAAAGGGTTATTCTTCGTGGTAGAGAGGTGGGGGTGGGGTGGGGTGGAAGGAGTGCCTGCCCTTGCAAAATGTTCCATATGCTAACAGGTATCTTCTCTAATGGACTTTAGAGATCCTTCAGGTCAATCCCTTCTTTTATAGATGAGGTGCCTGTAGACCAGAAAGGGATAGTAACTTAACTTGTCCTGAGGGAAGGTGATAAGTAGCTAAGGCAGGGTTTGAACCCAGGTCTTCCAGACTCTATTAATTATCTCTGCTATGCCAGGCTGTTGAAAAATTATTCAAAAGTCAACAGTTTTTAGGTTAGTAATGTCCTTCCCTTTCTCTGATTCCTTCTAGATCACATTGTCTGGATTTCTGATTTAGAATGATCACTTAGACCTGGAACCTATCTAGTCAAGCCCTCTTATTATATAGATTAGGAAACTGAGATTATGCGACCCACGCACGATCACACAGTTCCTCTAAAATCAAATCTTTTGGGCATTTAATTTTTTTTTAATCACCTGACCCCTTCCTACCTCTCCAGCCTTCTGTGTACTTTATGGTTTAATTATTCTGTCTGCATTCCTCTATTCTGGCTGTCCCTCATACCTAGAATGCTCTGGGGCCTCAGATCCACCCCCTTGGAATACCCTGCCCCTTTCCTTCAAGGTTCAGATCTAGTGACATCTTCTGCCAGAGGCCTTTGCCATGGTTACCTGGTAACATTATACATGTGCATACCCACATACACAAATATGTAGATACTAGATATTTAAAATATATTTTATATTTAAATTTAAATTTTTAAATATTTACATTTAATTTAATATTTAAATTTTAATTGTAATTTATTTGACTTTAAATATTTAAAATATATTTGGTTTATCATTAAATTTATTAAAATACATTTACAAATATGTACAAATTATATACACATATGTATATGTTTGTGTACACAGATATGTGTATACGTATATGTATATGTACATATGTTGTATGTTTCCTGTGTATATATATTTTGGGCATGCTGTCTCTCTCTTTAGAATGTAAGCTTCTGGGGGAGCTTTTGTCTTTGCATGTGAATCATGAAACAGGTTAAACCTCGTGACTAATTATAATAATAGCATTTATATTGTGCCTACTATCTGTCGGGCACGTGGTAAGCAATTTTTATTTCATTTGATCTGCACAACAGCCCAGAGAGGCAGGTTCTATTATTATCTTGTTTTCCAGATGAGGAAATTGAGGCTAAGAGAGGTTAAGTGACTTGACCAGGAACACACAGCTAGTAAATGTCTGAAAACTAATGTGGCAAACACTCTATCCACTATGCCATCTAGCTTTGTAGTAGTGGTGAAGGTGGTGATGGAAGTCATGGTAGTAGTAGTAGTAGTAGTAGCAGCAGCAGCAGCAGCCGCAGCGACAGTAGTAAGGGACATAGTATGCCCAGGGGCTTACCTTAGAACCTGGCATACAGCAGGTACTTAATAAATACTTTTCTTGATTGATATCAGCAGCAGATTTTGAACCCAGTCCTTCTTGACTCCAAGTCCAGGATTCTTGTTTTCTTTAGCATCCAGCTTTAAGTTTTTCAGCTCCCACTTCTAGGAAGATGAAGTTCCCTAAGTGGCTCAGTGAATACACTGCTGGACTTGGAGTCTGGAATCCTGAGTTTTAATCCTGAACCCGACACTTACTCTCTGTGTGACCTGGAGCAGGTCATTTCACCTTGGTCTTCCTCAATATCCCCATGTGTAAAGTGAGGATAGTGATAGCACCTACCTCCCAGGGTTCTGGGGAGGACTGGATGAGACAATATGCCCAAACAAACCCTAAAGTGCAATAGACATCCTAGCTCTCATTAGGATGCTAGAACTCTGAAGAACACTGGCCAACAGAATCCAATACAAACTAGAGCTCAGGATTGCTGCTGCTTCCTCTGTCTTGTCTGCCTGGTCACTGGTGGGGAGGGACCCATGGCCGCTTCAAGTCTCTGCTAGTACCTTAATGCTCTGCCTTCTTTCTGTTGATCAGCCCCAATGTCTCCTATCTATAACTTGCTTTGTACATCATTTTTTTTTCTGGGCGGCTAAGTGGCTCAGTGGATAGAGTTGTGGGCCTGAAGTCAGGAAGACTTATCTTCCTGAGTTCAAATCTGGCCTCAAATGCTT